GATGTTTATTAAAAAATCATTCCTTATACTTATACTTATACTTATATTATGAATGAAACAAAATGCCTGGATATTTTTAAATTATTTTCGTTTCATAAATTATTTCAAGCTCGCTTAATTTCAGATAATGTGAGTCTATCTGAACCATCGTTTAATTTCATGCAGTTCTTTTAATAACAAATTAGTTGACATTTTTCTGTGATATTAGGCAAGTTTGACTGTAAAACAATAAAGAAGGTTCAATATTTTTATAATTATCAAAATGTAGGTCAACAAATTGAGATTAATTTCTATATATTGAAAATTTTTTTGAAAATTAATTTAAAATTTTTAGTTTAGAATTAAGAATTCAAAAAGTAGATAAAAAAATTTAAGGAAAAATTTTTTTGTGTCAAGTGCAGAAACGTCTATGTCGTTGAAAAAAAATATTGCAATATACAGAAAATATAAAATTTTTCATTTGAAATTTTCGCAATTAAAAATTTTACGGATTTGAAAAGTTATAAAAATATTTTAGTTCTCCTATACCTCAAATAATCCTTATATTAAGCATTTATCAATGAAAATATTTTCAATATTGAAAAAATTAAGCAATAAATAAAATTTTCAATAAAATTCAATAATTAAATTCATTTTTAAAAATTCTATTAATATTTTTGTTTAAACAAGATTTCAAAAAATTTCAGATAAATTTTTTCTAAAATTATATTGCATAAGTTTAGGCGAACCAAAAAGAAAATTATTGAATTTTATTTTTTACGCTAAAAAACAAATTAAAAGAGTGCTATAAAAATTTTTGTCTTTTTATACCCTGCACTTCGTGAAGGGTATATTAACTTTGGTATGGAGTTTGTAACTACTTGAAGGAGTCATCTGCGGTATGGACATATATATATATTCTTGCTCAGCGTAAAATTCTGCGTTGATTTAGACATGTCCGTCCGTCCGTCCGTCCGTCCGTCCGTCCGTCCGTCCGTCCGTCCGTCCGTCCGTCCGTCCGTCCGTCCGTCCGTCCGTCCGTCCGTCCGTCCGTCCGTCCGATCGCACGATAACTCAAAAACGAATAATGCAATCGACACCAAACTTTCACAAGTTGCTTCTTTTCTGCCAAGGACGAACCCTATTGTTATTGGACCAATTCGGACAACGGGTTCGGGTAGCTGCCATACAACTCAAAGAGTTTATTTTAATTATTTCAAAAACTAATAAAGGTACAAATATAAAATTTTGTATACATGTGTCCAATTACATTCTACATATGCTCTAAAAATTTTAATGAGATAGCTGCACCGGTTCGGGTGGCTGCCATACAACTCCAAAAGCAAATTTTTTATATTCGGCAAAATAATAAAGTCAGATTCATGAAACTTGGCAGTCGTGTGTCCAATTATAGGCCAAAGATATTTCTGAAGTTTTTGTGGAATTGCTTGACAGGTTCGAGTGGCTCCCATACAAGTCCAAAAGCTTATTTTAAGTATTTGGAAAAATAATAAAGTCAGATTCATGAAACTTGGCAGTTGTGTGCCCAATTATAGGTCAAAGATATTTCTGAAGTTTTGGTGGAATTGCTTGACAGGTTCGAGTAGCTCCCATACAAGTCCAAAAGCTTACTTTAAATATTTGAAAAAATAAAAAAGTTAGATTCGTGAAATTTGGCAGTTGTGTGTCCAATTATAGATCAGATATACCTGCGAAGTTTTATTGGAATTGCTTGACAGGTTCGGGTACCTGCCATACAACTCCAAAAGCTAATTTTAAATATTTGAAAAAGTACTAAAGTCAAATTCATGAAACTTGGCAGTTGTGTGTCCAATTATAGATCAGATATATTTGCGAAGTTTTAGTGAAATTGCTTGGCAGGTTCGGGTACCTGCCATACAACTCCAAAAGCTAATTTTAAATATTTGAAAAAATAATAAAGTCAAATTCACAAAACTTGGCAGTTGTGTGTCCAATTATAGATCAGATATATTTGCGAAGTTTCAGTGAAATTGCTTGGCAGGTTCGGGTATCTGCCATACAACTCCAAAAGCTAATTTTAAATATTTGGAAAAATAATAAAGACAGATTCATAAAACTTGGCAGTTGTGTGTCCAATTATAGGTCAAAGATATTTCTGAAGTTTTGGTGAAATTGCTTGACATGTTCGAGTAGCTCCCATACAAGTCTTAAAGCTTATTCTTAATATTTGGAAAAATAATAAAGTCAGATCCATGAAACTTGGCAGTTGTGTGTCCGATTATAGATCATATATATTTGTGAAGTTTTAGTGGAATTGCTTGACAGGTTCGGGTACCTGCCATACAACTCCAAAAGCTAATTTTAAATATTTGGAAAAATAATAAAGTCAAATTCATGAAACTTGGCAGTTGTGTGTCCAATTATAGATCAGATATATTACCGAAGTTTTAGTGGAATTGCTTGGCAGGTTCGGGTACCTGCCGTACAACTCCAAAAGCTAATTTTAAATATTTGGAAAAATAATTAAGTCAGATTCATGAAACTTGGTAGTTGTGTGTTCAGTTATAGGCCTGACATATCCGTGAAGTTTCTATAGAATGGTTTCACAGGTTTGAGTAATTGCTATACAACAATGAAAGGTGCAGGGTATAATTCAATCGGTTTATACCGACTGAAACGTTTTTACTTGTTTTTCATTCATTTCAATTTTCAATGTGTGTGTGTGAAAAATTAATTTTGTTACTTTCGTTAGATACCGTTATTCATGTAATATTTTCGCAATTCTGAAGCAAATGTTGTTTGAAAAAACTGTGGGTACATATTCATTCATATCATGATATATATACGTTACATATAATGAAATGATATATATATAATAAATATATATATATATATATATATATTGTAAATATTATGACACTTACGAAATTGTGGGAAGAAATTCCTTTTATATTGCAAATTTATTTAAAATCATAGTTTTACGATTAAATATTTTGGTATTTAAACATTTTTTTACAATCATCTGGAATGGAAATAAATGTTTCAAATAAAATAAAATTATATTGAGATTAAATATAACTCCTACATATATATGTATATATATATTTATATATATATATAAAAAAAAAATATATATATATATATATATATATAGGATATAAATATGCATATATTCTATAAATATATATACATACGAGATATAACCTCGTAGATATAACCTCTATATTTCTATTTCAGCATATTCATATATATATATTCATATATATATATATATATATATATATATATATAGGATATCCTACATATATATATCCTATATATACATATATATAGGATATATATGTATATATATATAAATATATATATATATATATATTCTATAAATATATACACATACGAGAAATAACCTCGTAGATATAACCTCTATATTTCTTTTTCAGCAGATTGTGCTAAAATATCTAAATTCAAAATGGCTATATGAAAATATTTTTTAAAATTTCAAAAACGTGAGTGTTTCACAATAATATTATAGTGTTGAGCTATTTATATAATTTAGTTATTAAAGATAGCTTGAATAAATTTCTTATTACTATTAAATAAAAAAAGGAATTAATAAATTCTATAAGGTAAAAAAATTTTATATTTATTAAGAAGGTCTCGGAATTTCATTAAATTTAAATAAAATATAAGAATTTATAAAAAATTGATAATCTTCTAATTCAGAAAATCTTTCTATGTTTGGTTAAGTATACCAAAACGATAATAAAGTAATAATATTATTTTGCGATATAGTTCGATATGTGAAGAAATTTTAAGGATGTACAATAATACATATAGAAATATGTATATACAATAATACATTATTTAAAATGAGATATATATAGAAATAGACAAAAAATAACGTGAAATTATTCTCCATTTTTTTGTAAATATACTTGATTTTTCTTATTCACAATTTCATTAATTTCTATTATTACTATTATTATTATTTGATCATATTTAATACAGAATGAATTTGATACCGAAATTTAATGCATAACATTATTACGATATTTTACCCTATGATATATTTAATTCACATCAGCTATATAAATTACAAATCTTAATTAATTTAAAATCTTTCAAAATATTTTCACTTCAAATTGAATTTTTCGATATTTTAATACGTGTAATTCTATATTTTCATAAAATTTAATAAAAAATTTAAAAAATTATTATGAATATCCTTAAGTAAGTCCTGTAGATTCAAGAAAAATAATATTATTTTTTTGTTCATTTTATTTATCAATCCAAAGTATAATTTTTACATAATATTTTTTTTACATTTAAATTTGAATATGAAAATTTTTTCGAATAATATGCATTTTAATTGGTTATTTATTTTACATTTTAAAGCATATTTTCATATTATATTTAATTAATTAAAAAACAATATTTTTCTCTTTATTTATATTAATTATCATATTAAATTTTTTAATAAAAAAATAAATTGGTTAACAAAATACAAAAATAATAAAAATAAAATATTTAGAGTTAGTAATAATAATAATAATTACAATATTATTAAGTTATTCCAAACAAAATATTCGAAAAACAGAAAAAATAAGCTATGCAAATTAAATAAAACAAAAAATAATTAAAATTCAAAAATATTAAATGCCAAAATTTAATTTGAAAATACAAAAAAAAAAAACAATTATTTCTAAAGTTAATAAAATTTCATTATTACAAATACAATTTATTACTAAATATAATTTTATAAATATTCGAATAATTAAAAAAAAAAACAAAATTTATTTTCGAAAATTATTTTTTTTCTTCTGTCTTATTCGAATTTTATAAAATAATTTTTTTTTTAATTATTTTCGTTTCGAAATTCCAATTTTCGAAAAAAATTTTTCGAATTTTCGAAAACAATTTTTCGGAGTTTTCCAAAAAAATTTTTCAACTTTTCCAAAAAAAAAATTTCGAATTTTCGGAACTTCGAAAAATTTCGAAAAATTTTCGAAATTTTTATTTCGAATCTTTTCGAATTTTTTGTTTTTGTCTTCCTTCTTTACGGTTTTGATGTTAATGCCCATAAAATACATGTTTTATCAGCTGATGTTGATAAAAATGAAAAATCTGTTGGATGCCAACGTCCCGATATCACTTTATCATTATGATGTGCAACAGTTACTGATGGCAATTGTAATGTTAAATCACCTTGTAAATCAGTTAACATTAATTTTTTATCATAACCAGCTGTTAATAAATAATATGCTGATGGTGAAAATCGTATAGACCTAAAAAAATATTAAATAAAAAATTCAAATTAATAAAAAATTATATTTAATTATAACTAATAATAATAATAATATAATAATTATTTTAATATTATACATATGATAAATTTACCTTATATCAGCTGTATGTGGTTTAAAACATTGTATTGGACGATTTCCTCTAATATCATATAAAACACATGAACTATCCTCATGACCAGATACTAATAAACGACCAGATGGATCAACACATACTGCTGCAACTGGACTACCATGTCTTATACCGGGTTGTGTTGATGGTGTTATTGTATTAACACATGATCTAGTACGTAAATCCCAAAATCGTATTGTTTTATCCTTAAAATATTTGAATATTTTGTTAAAAATTTTAGAATAATAAAAACTTTTTTTTTATAGAAATGTTTATTTTTAAATGGTTATATTTATATATCTAAATATGCATGTATATGTGTAGGTGATGTGTTTATTTTATTTAAAAAGGATATATTTTCTAATGCATATTTATTTTTCTAATGTTATTAAATTGTATATATCATGCATGCTCGTTTTAAATAAAATGTTTGGATTTTATAAAACTTTTATGAAATTAAATTTAAATAAGTAGAGAAATATTATATTACGTTCTATATATTCATACACATATAATCTACATTTAATATTATATTTAAATAATATAATGTGTATACTTACATGTGAACCTGATACAAACATTGCACCACCCCAATTATATAATGATAATATATGACCACTGTGACCGCTTAATGCTTGAAATGGTGTTGCAGTACCACAATCAGTTACATAAATTTTATTATCACCAGCTCCACCACTTATTAATAGGCTAGCTTTATTTGATGTATCCTCAATAAAACAGATATCACGTATTGTTCCATCATGCATTGTTAATTCAATTTCACGTCCTTCCAATTCTTTATTATCATCATTGTAACGCATTAATTTTATTGTTTTATCATTTGATCCAGTTGCAATTAATTCACCATCTGGTGACCAATCCATACAATATATTGATCCTTTATGATATTTTTGTTTTTCATATACAATTATCGGTTGATATGCAGTATGATCCTCTCTATATTGTATATAGAACAAATATGCATTTTAATAAAATATTGGAAAAAAAAAATTCCTATAGGGACAAAGTAATAACACTATATAATGTATATGCATATAAAAACAGCTTATATACTTAAATTGCATTGAGAATTTTTAATGCACAAATAAGAGTGACAAAAGTTGAAAATTTAAATTTTCATATAAGGAGTGAAACTCATTGTTTTATACAATTCATGCCGTCATTGCAACACACTTACAAATACTTGTAATAAATTTTTTATTATAAATAATTCGAGTTTTTAAACTTGAAAATTCAATTTGTATTTTTTATTTTATTTTTTTTTTTTTGCAATAATTTTCTGCAATTGAAATTACTGCACAGACAAGTTAAAGAAAAACTTGATTGAATTTCTATTTTAACTAAAAAATGTGATATTTTAAACTGAGAATCAAACTTGTTAACTAATTTAAACTTGAATAAAATTCCAATAATGAAAATATTAAAAATATTATACACTTTAATATTTCTGTATATATATATAACATACTAATATGAAGAGGAGACGTTATTACTTAAAAACTAGTTAAAAAATTATTAACAAACCTGATTTCAACTAAAGATGGATATTCACATATACGAAATGTTTTTGAATTTGAACCGACTGCATATAATTTTCCATTTGGATGAAATTCAGCACAACGTATTGCTTGGCAATCATCTAATGATGTCACAGCAACAAATTGAGGACGATCTGTATCTCCCTGTTGTACATTTTTTTGTTTGTTTTGTAAAAAAAAAAAATAAGAAAAATAAAATATTAAAAAAAATTTTCAATGAAATGAGATTACAAGTAAAGAGTAAAATAAAAAAATATTCAATTAAATTTAAAAAAAAAGATTTTTATCAAATTTATTGCATTTTCTAATAAGCAATAATGAGAGTCAAGCATAAATTTCTGTATGTAATTTATTTTACAAGCTCTTCGATTGCTTAATTTAATGTATATTTCGAATGTGCATAACAGACGCTATTTTACACATAACAGGTATTATGAATGATGAACCTATTTAACTGTTTGCAATATTCAAAATTAAAATTTAATTTAAATAAATTTAAATAAAGCTCAAATTTATTTATAATTCAATTAATAATTATTATTAATGCAATAATATTCTTGATTTAATAATTAGAATTTTCTGTATCTAATAATTGAAAAACGAAATTAATTACTAATCATAATTTACTTAGTAATGATCATAATTATTAATTAGTATATCACCTATTAATTAGTATATAGAAATTCTATATTAATTAATTATAATAATTATTAATACAATATACATTAATTTCAATAATATTTTAATAATTAATTCAATATACATATTTATATTTTGTTAATGAAAATGTTTTTTTTTTATTTGTTAATGATCTTAAATTTTTAAATGTTAATTTATATTTAATTAACATTATGATTATTTACTATAGAAATATAAATTAATTCACACCTGATAATGATAATTTTTCTTACAATGATTATTATTATTATTGTTATTATAATTACTATTATTATTATTTGTTATATCAATAAAATGTTGATTAACAGCTGTTAATAAATTATCCATTGAATAATGTTTATTTTTAATTTGATATAATGCTGATTTTTGTTTTGGAAAATTATGTTGTAATATTTTATTACTTATAATATTTTTATTACTAATATTAATATTATTATTATTGTTAGTTAACATTTTTTGTGTTATAAATGATTCTGGATGTTGTTGTATTATTGATGATTGTTTTAAATGATTATTATTTGTATTTCTAATATTAGTACTATTTGTATAAGAATGATTTTTATTATAATTATCATTAGTACAACAATTATAATGTTGTTGTTGTTGTTGTTGATATTGTTGTTGATATTGTTTATTATTATATTTTAATAATTCAGATGATACCATTGGATAATTATTAAATAAATTATTATCATTATGATAACGTAAATCATCAACAGAACGTGATACTAATAAATTTTTTTTATTTTTTTTATTAATCATATTATTATTATTATTAATATTAAATGGTATTAATGGTGCTACTGTTGATGATGATGATATTGATGATGATTGATTATAATGTTGTTGTAATAATTGTTCTTGTTGCTGTTGTTGTTGTTGTTGTTGACATTCAAAACAATCATTTAAATTAATATGATCTTTTAATAATGATGATCCTTTTTTATTATTATTATTATTATTATTATGATTTGATGAATTATGTAATATATTACAATTATTTATACCATTATGATTTCTAATACCATTTTCACTTAATTTATTAATTATATTTTAATATTTAAATGTAATACAATATAAATGAGAATTTATCCAATTTAAATGAGAGTTTATCCAATTTAAATGAGAGTTTATCCAATTTAAATGAGAATTTATCCAATTTAAATGAGAGTTTATCCAATTTAATATAATAAAAAATTTATTAATTATAATAATGAATATTAATTGTAATAATTATTATGATTTTTAAAATTTTTAATTTTTGTCAATATAATTAAAAAATTTTTTGTCAATTTATATTTCACAGTTCATAATTATTAGTTTATTTTTTGGTTTTTTATAAATGAGAATGTACATATATTATTAAATTACATGTTCCAATAATTATTTGAGATACACAAAATCATTGTTGCATATTAAAAATGTGTGTACAGAAAAAAATCAAAAATTACCATTTTTAGAATGGTAAAATTTAAAAGAGTGAAAGTCATTTATTTTTTTTTTTTTTTTTTTCGTTTTGTGACAGAGACAAAGTTAGAGACCGAAAAATAAATAAAAGAAAAAAAAAACAGAAAATAAAGAAAAATTAAATATATAAATAAATAAAAATTCAATATAATTTAAAGAGAGAGAGAGAGAGAAAGAGAGAGAAAAATAAAATAATAACAAAAATTTGAATCTGAAATTATAAAGACAACTGTTTTGTATTAAAAATAATGCTTATATATGTAAATATATATATAAAATTTTGTGTACATATAATAATGATAATGTTATAAAATTAAAATTAAAATGCAGAAACAAAAAAAAACAGAAAAATTTCACTTTATCTTTTTTGTTATTTTTCATACCATTGAATTTCAAAGTTACATTTATTATTACTATTACTATTATTGTTATTATTATCATCATTGTCAATTGAGCATAAATTTAATGTTGATGATAATGGTACTGCTGTTACTATTGCTGTTTTATTTGTTGTTATTCCTTGTATTGAATTCGATGATATTTTTTTTGATTCACATTTACTATTATTATTGCTATTCTTATTATTATTATTATTATTACGTGAATTAAAATATTTATTTTTTTTTTTTGATATATTATAATAATCACGATTCGATGATGATGATGAAATATCAGAGCATTTTGGTATATTTGAATCACAAATTATATTTCCATTATGAATCTAAAAAAATTTTTCATTTTTATATTATAGGTATATAAACACAATATACATACATATATAAATGCATATATAGAAAAAAAAAATTTTTTTTTCATCCGAAATTTTAATTATTGAAATAAAATAAATAAATTATATTAAAATTTATAATAGTAGGTATTAATTTAATAAATAATATTTAAAATTCAAATGAAATTTTTTTATTTTGGAAATTTTATGCAGTATACAGACTATATGCTAAACTATTTTATATGACTAGTAAAGAATCTTCATAAATAATATGAATTAAAATTTAATACATGTATGTAGGCATGTGTAACATAAATAATATGAATTAAAATTTAATACATGTATGTAGGCATGTATAAATATTTGTATTTTAAATAAAAAGATAATCAAAATATTAGTCCTATATTTCATATTTCAAATTATTTTGAAATTGAATTCAATTTTGAATTGAGTTATTCGAAATTTATAATAGAATTATAATTGTATACATATAAATATTAATTTTTTGGAAATAAATCAATGCATTTTTTTTTTTGAATATTTTGATTTTATTAAATTTTTATTTTTTAATAAAAATATATTTGGAATTAATTTATGAAATAAAATTTCAAAATTATATAGAAAGAATTTGTATTTTCTTCTTCGAATTTTCGAAGAAATTTTATATTAAAATCAATATAATTAAATTATATATATATGTATATATATATAATATATAAATTTAAAATTCATATATGTATATATATGTATAATATTCACAATAATATAAAAAATAAATCTATCCTATATATTATAGAAATTATTTTAAAATAAAATTTAAAATTGCTCTTTAAAATTCTGAAAAAAAAAAAAAAAATTCAATTATGTATAATTTCCCAATTTTGTTTTTTTTTTTCGATCCCGTATATTATATTATATTTTGTATACATTTACATTATGAGGTATAGATTCACAACAATTATTATCATTATATCCTGATTCATTTATTATTGAATTACTGCAATTATTTATGCTATAACTATTTGTTCCACATATAAATTCATTAGATTTTTCAATTTGATGATGATGCTGTTGTTGTTGTTGTTGTTGTTGACCCATTATTATTAAAGGATTCTTTTGATATTTATCCTTATTTTTATTTGAATACCAAAATTTTTTATCATTTTTAAACATTTTTTTTTTTTGTATTCTTTTTCTTTTTCTTTTGTTATTATAATTTTATTTTTATCCTTCCTTTTAAATCCTTTCTTTTTGTAATTTGGTTTTTTTTTCCTTATTTGCGTCTATATATTAGCTGTATACGTGTATATATGCGTATATTTATAATCCAATAATATTATATTATCCTTTGTGTAAAAGTTAACGAATGGCAGAAAAAAAAATAAGTCCTTTGTATTTACAAACGTATGTGTTGTATACAAAATGATTGCTTTTGAATCAAAATTTTTATTCATGTAAAAAAAAAAAAAAATATGAAAAAGAAACAAAATAAAAAATAATCGCTTTTTTTCTTCTGGTTTCAAAAGATTTTTTCAAAAAAAAATGAAGAAAAATTACAAATATAAAAAAAAAGAAGAGAATAAAAATTAACGAAAATTTAATTTTCACCGCGCGCGTTTTCTTTTTTCGAAAATTTTATTTTAAATTATTTTTTATGCGATCCACGAAAATGTAAAAATTAAAGCAAATAAAAAATTCTTTTTTTCCTCTTTTTTAAAAAAAAAAAAATTAATTTCTTTTTTTTTTTTTGTCTTTCTTTATTTTATTTTTATTTTTATTCTCAAATAACCCATCCAATTCATTTAACATCAAGATAGCAACTAAAAGATGAATACAAAATAAGCGCGGCTACAATATTTTTTTTTTTCCTACATTATACTAGTTGTTTCATTGGTATATGGTAGTAGTTATTGTTTACCATACACAAAATGAAATTAACGTGCAAAAAACCCGCCGAATCGAAAAAAGATGAAAACGCAAAAAGAGAAAAATTAAAAATCAGAAAAAAAAAAAAAATAATGAAAATCTTATTTTAACTTTTCATATTTGAAAGTGCTTTAGTTTCCTATATTATTAAAATTAAAATTTTCAAATACACACAATTGAATATTTTACATATGTATGTTAGTACAATGTGTATATGCTTTGCAATCCAAACAAGTGTATTTAACTATATAAGATACATAAGAGTTATTTTCTTTTCTTTTTTTTTTTTAAATAAAACAACAGTAACAGCAGCAGTAACAGCAACAATCATCAACAAATAATAAAA